ATTTGGACTCGACGTCATTGCAAGCGACGGGACATTTCCGGTCTTTATAAAGTCACGATTTTTATTTGTCTCAAAATTTTGGCTTTTCCAATCAAAAATTGCATGAAGTTTCACAAACATATGAAAGACAAAAATTTAAAGTTACGAAATTTCAAAAAAAAAAATTTTTCGAGCAAATCGTCATTTTTCGTATCCTAATACCTTAAGATCGGGAGAATATTTGCATAACGACATCTTCAATTTCATTGTGTTTATGCAGATATCCTGCCGAACCTGTCCCGCAGTTAACATTGTGGAATGTCCGAGAGCGTTGTTGTCGACCGATATTGAATTAATTATTTCTAGCGGGGTGAGCTCTTTAGGTACACCTCACTTTAAAAAATGCTTTCTCCAAAATTTGGATAGGACGAGCTGTAGAAATTTCACTACCATTTAGATAAAGCTCTGGTCTATTGATGTAGGTGGTTTAAAGAAAAAAATTGGAGCCGTTTTGAAGAAAAAGGCGAAAATGTGATTTTTAGCAAAACTCTCATTTTTGAGGTTTACAACGACAATTAGTAAAAAAACATTTATTCAATGAGTTTTTAAGATTTGATGCTAATTTTTCGTAAGGCTCATCCGCAATACTTGGAAATAGGTATGTGAAAACTTCAAGGCAATCCATTCAATGGTAATGTTTCTACAGCGCGATGTCTTATATGCTTCAAATTTTGGATCGAATTTTCAAGCGGCGTCATAACTTTTTTTCTGCCCAAGACTTTCCATCCAAGTTTATACACAGGCTGCAATGATATTAGGTGATAGGATTATGAAAATTTCAGAAAAATCGTACCAGGGGATGAGGAGAAAAAAGCCAAAAACTAAAAATAGCACTGTTTGATTTTCGGCCGTAATAGGCTAAACATTTAAAAAATCTTAGAATAAAATACACTGTTAAAATCTAGGATAATCCAAGCACATTATATGGAAAACACAATTAAATTGACGCAATAGTTTTGCGAAGCGAGCGAGAACAAAATTGTCCAAAATTCGCTGTTCCTTCGTTCGCTGTTGTAATGCAGACGTTTTCATTCCAAAGGTCAAACGGTTTGAATAGCCTATGAGCGTTACTTCTTTAACGGCCATTCCGTACTTGACTCTGTTTGTACTATACCAACAACAAGGCGACCGCGCGATGCTCCTTACGTCAGTAATATTCAACCGTCCAGAGTTAATATGGTTAATCAAATTCACCTTAAGTTCCATATATGACCTGCTATTCAAACCGTTTGACCTTTGGAATGAAAACGTCTGCATTACAACAGCGAACAAAGGAACACGGCAAGATAAGTAAACAAGTATAGCGTTAGTTTAATTCAAATAATCGAAAGGAAAAAAAACCCTATAGAAATCCAACCACATTGGGTGTCCTAGTGCCCTTGGTTCAACTGGAGCCACCATACACGTCACGAACATGGATTTTTATACTTCGATAGAGATGCGCAACCAGATTCAATAGAAGCTCCCACACGTTGGATATTGCGTGCCAAGGCAAAGACAGGCACGTTAGTCAAAGATCATTAGGGTTGACTATGACCTTGATGAAGCTCTATGTCTTCATCTAAACTTGAACGTATACTTCATCCCTGATGAAGTCATCCTCATAGTATTCGAGTGGTCTTTATATAAAGATCACATGTGTCTATATATAAAATCACTTGAATACTAATGAAGAGGACTTTATCGGATATAAAGGTTCATGCACGTGACGTGTATGGTGGCTCCAATTGGACCATAAGCTTATGAATTATTAATGAGTGTTTTAAATTAGTATGATGTACTAACAGAGAATTCTAAAGCAGGAAGCAATGGCTACTGAACTACGAAAGAATGAAACTTTAGAAACAGGTATTTGCATTTAATTTCAGTTAATTAAGAGTTTCAAGTATTTCTTGGCTAAGCTCTCATGTCCAGAGTCCTTCAATCCGGCTTTTGGTCAGCGGGCTGGCGCCGAAATAGTCTCCAGACTCTGACGATAAAGCACAGGCAGTCCAATCTTATTATCTGGTAATAGTTATGTATCTCGACAAACATTAAATACACAAAAGTTAAAATCTCGTACCTAGAGCTCACGTTCCTCTTGGTCAGCACCAAGAACTGATCAAGAAGAACGTTACCCTGCGAGCAGAGGGTTTTTTTTCCTGACCCTCCGTGGAGCTGACAGCCAGCATTACGGAGGACCAGAAAAAAACTTCTGCTCGCAGGGTAGAAGTACGTGGGCTCTGGGTACGAGATCGAAGAAAATTCATGGTTATAATGAGATTGGGCTGCCTGTGGACAAAGCAGGAAGACGCCGGAGGACTCTGGGTACGAGATTGAATATTATCTTCAAATCATTTATTCATAGACGAGGAGAAGAACACGGAAGAGCCAGAGGAACAGTTGTCGGATTCACCTCCATCGATTAATGAAGAAGGTAAGGACGTTTGATCTGAAAAATGCTCGTTTTCTTCCACTGTACTTAGCCGTTCATCTCGTACCCAGAGCTCCTCGGTTTCGTTCCCACCTGCACATCTGGGTTTGAGAATGCCACTGAACAAAACATTTTGTGGCTGTCATTCTTACAACGCATGCGCTCGCGTGGCCAAATTCATTTATCAGGCAAGTTTAAAAGTAATTTTTTTCATATTTTACATGGCAATCTCGAATCCAGATCCTGCGTTTCTCTTGGTCAGAACCGAGTATCTTTTACGAGACCATAGTTAATAGAGGGGACTGTTCTCCCTCTACTAACTCCCTCTACTACGTGACGAGACCAAGATACTGTATTASTAAAGACAATATGGTATTTTSAAGAGTCCACAAGTTCACTTGTCAAGCAAGTTGAAAATAAAAATTTTCATATTTTGCATCAGTAGCAAGACGATAGTTAAACTAGTATTTGTTAGACTAATTTGCTTTGAGATGAGCATGTGCAGACGTTTCCCCTACTGTCATTTCTTTTTCCAGCAGAGAACAAACACGAGTTTTCCAGTCCCTGGCAAAACAGTGACCTTGTTCTYATCATAGAAGATCAGAAGATTCATGTTCACCGGATCATCCTACAGATGACCTCACCAGTGTTGTGCAATTTTTTAAAGGAGACAGATTCAAATGAAGTTCCTTTATTGAGGACAAATGTCAACGATTTTGTTGATCTTTTGAGGGTGATTTATCCTCAGTTTAAAAACAAAATTAATTGTGAGTATTCATTTCTTTCACTTTTCTTCCCTTTTTTCCCTTTCCATTCTTTCCCTTCCCATTCCATTCCATTCTTTTTTGCTTTGTTGTGCTTTCCTTTTTCTTTTCCACATCATTTTATTCCTCTTCTTTTCTTTTTCATTTTCCTTTCCGTTCTTTTTGTTTCTTTCCTTTTCTGCTTTTCTCTTTGTTTTCCTTCCTCTTCCAATTCCTTCCTTTCAATTCTTTTATTTTATATTTTTTGTTTATTCGCTTCCCTTCCATTTCATTTTTTCGATTCTTTTCCTTTTGATATCACCTTATCACGTTTCGTTTTTCCTTACTACAGTGGAAAACATAGAACAAATCTACAGACTTGCAGAAGAATACCAAATCGAGAGTGTAATGGAAGTCTGTAGGGAACACTTGATACACGTCAAGAAGACGAGCACGAATGCCATGAAAATACTAGTGACAGCCCAAGTGTGTAATGTCCATGAAGCCCGCAAACAATGCTACGAAATCTTAAAAGGTTTGACCGTGGATGAGTTGAAAAATGATGATTATTTCGAAGACCTGGACGAGGAAAGTCAGAGAAACGTTCTTCTGCCAAAAGCTGAGCGACTTGAAAAGTGCCTGAGAGAGATTCAGCCACAGTTGGTTGGATTGATTGACTGTGTTTTGTATCTGTGGTTCAGCAGTGAAGACAAGATCAAACTCATGGGTGGATCACCCAAAAAATGTCCAGTGCATCAACAATATGCCAAGGCAAGCACATCCATGCAAACAAGAATCAAATGTTCTGCCTGTAGAGCGATGTTTGCACAAATGGCAAATCAATCAGGATGTATGCAACATGAAAGGCTGACAAGTAGGATGACTACGGCAACCAGACAACATTACTACAGTGTAACTGGGGCGTACTTCAACGAAACAATTGTGAATGTCTTGCAAGAGATGTTCAGCCTCTTAAACTGAACGTACTAGAAACATTTCTACTGAACTAAGAAGACCAGAACCCCTGTTAACTTTAATCAACCTTTTACCAATTTATTAATCATTAAGTAACTCGATCCCTTTAGTCAATCATAGTCAATAACACGTGTTCTCATAAGTATTAAGTTTGCTACTCGACGCCTACTAGGTATTCCCAACATTTCGAATCAATTCTACTCTTCAATTAGCCATTCTACCTACGTACACCAAAGTAAGTGATTAGTGAATGACTTAGCTTAGAATAGTACTCTTATTTTTTACTTTTTTATGTTTCTAAGATGATTCACATTGTATCCATTGTACGCTAGATCAATGTATGATTTGTAAGATCGATCAACCAAATTTAAGAATTAATTTAGGACAAATCGTTGTTTAATACGTTACAGCATCGAATATAGCCAACTCATAATAACCAGTTTAATTACTTTCAAATTAATATGTAGTATTTTTTATCTCTATTTCAGTTCGAACCAGTTTTATAATCGTGTTGTGCTATAACTAATTCAAGCTCCAATAAATCTACGGCAATATAATCTGAGCTGCGTTCGCATGGTGTATTTTTCCCTCTCAACTATCGACAGAGCTATAGCTACCCTTAACCTGTGGTCGTAGACTACAGCCCCGTATTCCTGTTATTATTAGTTCAATAGCAATTTCATCACTGACAAAACCACATMATCATACGTTGACCAGAAAGGACCTCCAGTCAAACCCCACATAAAACAAACATTTCAAAAGAAGAAAGAAGAACAGAACCTTGTATTCCAGTTATTAGTTGCATTCCAAATACACCAAAACCGCATGGTCCGGCGTACATTGATTWTCTCTGGTCCCCTGGATGTCGTTCTCAACTGATAGCACGCGCTGAATTGTATCATTTACCGATGCGGCAAATTAGGTTTTGGTGGGTTAAGTTTTAAAGGGAAGTTGCCTACGGAATGTCATGGAAACGCCTTGATTGACGTCCACCAAAACCTAGTTCATCGCGACGGCAAATCGTATAATTCCTCGCTTGCAGGGAAAAATTGTAGGTTTTGGTGGATGTCAATCAAAGTGTTTCCATGACATTGTCGAAAAACWCAAAACTTTCAAGGGCACCTGATTGTAAAGCGTTTCGACTGATGTCTGTATSCTTTTTAATATTTTATGTGTTTATTACCTTCGAGCAACACACGCACGTTAATCAATATAGTTATAAGTAATGCGATTSACCTATAAATTTAATGGCGACTACGGCTGGATATATTTTCTACGGGCGAGAAGAATTAACCTGTATTGGCGGCTCAAAATYGCAATAATTTATAATAATTGCTGTCAAATGTGGTATTCTTATTAGCTGATTCCAAGGTTGAGGAAAAGACTGGGTCGAGTTGCATGCAATATGGTATTGCAGCTAATTGTTGGACTGTTTTAGGGGACAAAAAAGTAGACGCGCCATCTTGTAAATATGTCCCCTGAAACAGTCCCACAATGCACTGCAGCGCTAACTCGAMCCAGTTTTTCCTCAACCTCGGAATGGCTGATATAYAGTATGTATGGAACATAAGCCATATTCTGGTTATGCATAAGACTCATTAAAAGYTTTTGCTAAGACAAACGTTAAGCTTTAAAGCGACGTTTATTCSTTTATTCTCGTAGCTCAAGCCAGATAAGTTAGATTTGAGTTTGTTGCAATTCTTCTTTGGGGAATGGAGAACTAGTTCTTGATTTTAGCTAAAAACAAGCCAGCCAATAGGAAAGCTCGTAAAAGATGTCAATCAAACTTTAACCTGACGACGTATTCACTAAGTTCTATCAAGTTTTAGTGTTTATGTTCATCATATACCAGCTGAGCGGTGAACGCAGCGCGCAAAGCATTAGTGGACAAAATTACCGGCCCTAAGTATTTTTGGAGCTTGAAAGAATGAAGCAAACATGGCGGTAAAGTAAAATTGTTTTTATTCTGCCTTTCCATATTTCTGCTTCTTGTAGGCACGTATATTATATTTTAGTCAAACGAAAACAGAAAAATACGCAAAAGTTGGTTTACATTAGCCTGGGAATGAGGGGCAGCGGCAAAACAGC